CAATAATACGAGAGGCTTTCCGGTAGATTCGATGGCTGTTGAAAACTTTCAAACGGGGTTTGGGCTATTGCTAGTTATTAATTATTAATAGACTATATTGAACAAACTTACGTTTTGACTTGATTTCGACTTCCAAGATTCCGCTTGACTGTTTCTAGATTCTAGAGATTATTGATTTAAATTTCGTTTATTGCTATAACTTATTGTTAATATATATTTTTTTTTATATTTTTTATTACCCAGATAATAGTTCTAATGTTGATACAAGGAAGAACAAGTAGAAGAAAAACGCTAACGATTATATTAAAGAATTTTATCGGCTTCGGATTTTTTTTAACTACATCATCGACGAATTATTTTTCAACGATAACTTCCTCACATTCACAACTGACCACACCATGTCACCGAATCCATCGATCCTCCTTCATCTTACGTTTTTCAGGTATATCCTCTCTTATTAGTATTGTTTTTAATTCTTTCCCACGTTCAGATTTTTTTTTTTTCATTGACTCCAACATTCTCTATTCGTTTCAATTAAACCAATTGTTTAGTACAAGACCTAGCCTAACTACCAATTTTCTTCGTTGAGCTGACTTTGACTATGAAGGAATGATAGAATCAGCAAGAGTTTTTCTTACCAATATTGGGGGGTTTTTTTTTTTTTCAAGGCAAGTAGAGATTTTTGTAGGGGTCTCAATATATTGAACAAACTTACTCAAAGATTTCTGTTTTTAATTTCCAAGTTTATTACAGATTAATCCCAACTTTATCATTTTACTACGCTGGTATAGAATCTCACGTGTATCTATTTTACCAATTTTATCATGTTTCATCGTTTTCAATCCTTTTGCTTCATCAATGTTGTTATCGTACTTATTTTGCATATCTACTTTGCGTTTATCATAGAATTATTTGCGGCCTTATCAAACAATAATTTCCCGTTTTCTAAACGTCATATGAACGGTTTATGCTTATCTCTTTACTACCAGTTCTATTTCGATAACTACGATTATATGTTTCTTCGGTAGTACCTACGCCGTTTCGACAACAAAACTCTGGGTCGTTCGTTCAAATTGCTACATCCGCCATCCATTCCCGTTGGCTCTGTAGATCTCAATATTTGATGCACGCTTGGCATTCGTCACTTTCACCTTCAATTTCATCTTGGTAAAGATATTTTTATTATCAATTCCAAGAGACATTTCAGGTATATTTACAGTTTTCATTTCATCCATTCGACTCAATCCATCAAATTTCATTACATGATCATTATTTACTTCTTTTTATTACTGTTCACACCTGATCTACAACCGTTTTTCTTTATCCACATGAATTCCTATTTTTCAGTAGATTTCAAATATCGCTCAAGCGCTTCCTTTCATATTTATCGACACTACCTATTTATTGGGTACTGAATATTACCGAATACTTCACAATCCATTCACTCAACCAGCATTTTTTCAACATAATCAAATTCAATCGATTTTTTACAGTAAGTGAATGCATTATTTTTTTTATTTTGTATTCTACTTCCATTTTTTCATTATGTTTCATCGGTATTAGGCGATTTACATTCCATCTCAACTTTGATTAATCAATATCGACTTTACGACTGTGACCTTCAAAATTTTTACTATTCACCATTCGGATATCAAATATGTATTCTTTTTTATCCTTCGTGTTTTTCTTTCGTTAACTAAATGCAATAATTGACTTCGGATTTTCATTAGCATTATCGAATAGGTCTTCCAATCCCACAACTCGGACTATTTCGAATTATTCCAACGATAACTTATAAAATTCACGATCGACCCATTTCAACATTCCTTTCCATTAATGACTTCACTATACTCTCTTCAGGTATGTCCTCTCTCATTAGTATTGTTCTTAACTCTTTTCTCACACGTTCAGGTTTTTTTTTTTTCATTGACTTTAACATTTTCTATTCATCTCACAAGACCTAGCTTAACCACCGTTGAACCGATTCCGACGAAGAAAAATCAACATGAATTTCCTTACCGGTTTCGTTTCCGAGTTTTATTTTTAAGGCAAGTAGAGATCCTTGTAAGGGTCTACCGTTTTGATAGGAGAAACAGTTGTGTCGCCTTACAAGTCGATAAATACGGGAGGCTTTCGGGTAGATTCTGTTGGTGTTGAGAACTTTCAAACGTTTTCTGGGGGGGTTTGGGGTAGATATATTGGACCAGGCTACTGCTAGTTAATTCTTCCTGGTTGTTTTTTTCAATATGTTGAACAGTTGCCTCAGTATATCTTAAATGGTATATTGAACCAGGCATCCTGGGATTATCTCTAGATATATTGAATAAACTTCCTAGTGGCTGATGATTCTTGGTAGACTCAATATATTGAACAAACTTACTCACAGGATTTCTGTCTTGACTTGATCTTGGCTTCCGCGTTTCTGCTTCGACTGTTTCTAGTTTCTAGAAGATCCACCTGATTATTGATTTAGATTTCCTTGTTTAACATATTGTTAACATTTTTCATATTTTTTATTACCCGGGTTATAGTTCTATGTTGATGCAAGAACAAGTAAAAGAAAAGTTCCAACGATTATGTTAAAGAATTTCAACTTAAAATCGCAACGTACGATGAAGCAATCGAATGGATTCCTATTAAAAGATCAGGCAATATTCAAAAGATTGATGATTTATTTTTGTAAGTTGATTACATGAACAGGTGGCTTATTTTTTTATCAAATTTTCTGAATAATGCAAGTTAACATTATATATATCGTTGATTTTTATTATCACAATAAATTCTAATTACATGGACTAACTCACAAACGATAAATGATTCAAGATATATTTCCGGCTTGATGTTAGACGTGTGATTTTTAGAAGATAATTCAAGGATGGACAAGCGAAAAACATATAAAAGACCTTCGGCTTAAAACGACAAAATATAAAGAAGTGATCGAATGGAATCCTTTTAATATGGCTGCTTTCTTTAAGAAGCTTGTACTATAGCCACACAAATCAGGTAAATAATCACATTTGATTAAACATAAATTTTGAATTGTTTCCGATCTGTGTTTACTCGTATTGACATGTTTATTTACTCAGATTATTACGATATTCCCAAACCTACGATTTTTTTAAAAAATAATAAACGAAACGAAAACGCAATCCGGAGAAGTCTTAAGAAGTAAATATTGAAGTACGCGATATAAAAGTAAGTATCGATTAATGTTAATGTGGCGCAACTAATATTTTTTTTGCGGGCTTGAGGTCTACTGGTCCTGCATGAGGGATCAGTTATGAACTTTCCTTGAACTGCGTAAAAAGGTATTAATATAACACGCTTTTCCGATCGCTAACCTGGCACTTCTGGGCGTATTTCATACTTT